GGAGCGCGGCGCGCGCGCGCAGCGGGGCCGGGGGGGCCCGGGCACATGCACACGTATATACACACATAGGCACGCATACATCACATACGTATGCACCTACACACAGACCCCGCACACATACATGCACACAGATATATGTATATGTATACGTTCACACACGTGTCACACACACACAGTATACTTAAACATGTACCTGCTCATACATACATGCATGCATGTGCACTTACATGCACACGTGTATTTGTATGCATACCTGCACATGTATATACACTTAATGCAAGCATGCACACATTTATACATATGTATACACGTACACATGCATGCACAGTTGCATCCACACATATATGCATATGCACGTGTGCATATGTATATATATACACATGCACAGCAACGTGTGCTCCGTCAGCACACACACGCATGCAATATACATGCACACTCCACTGCCCCACACACACCCCCATGGCCACCCACTCCCCATGGCCACCCACTGCCCAGGCACCTTCCCTGCCCTCCCAGTGCTATTCCCTGCCCATCCTGTGCTGCAGTTGGTATCGCCGAGGGTGCAGGAGGGACCCTGGCACAGCACCAGAGCGGGGGATGCTCTGGGGATGTGTGTGTACGTGTTTATCCTCATCAAATACACATGCAAAGAGACAGGCATACCTATCCTATATTTATATTCATATGGGCCCAAATATACATGCTCAGACACATCTACACATAAATAGATGTATATAAATATTTTAGATTTGCATACCGATTTGTATGACAAACACCCATTTGAGAGCAGTTCCCATCATGATTTATGTGTAAGGAAAAGAAATGTAAGAGACCCACAGCCTGCACAAAGCTGGATTTCCATATAGAAAACTCCCCCAGAGTTTACGGCTACCGAGTGACTGGCAATGAAGCAGTAGGAGTTCTGTTTTTCCCAGTTGACCATGTACCGGCGCTTCCCCAAAGCTGCTTTTTCCCCGTGGGCGACCAGCTTCTACCCAGGCACTCTGGTGTCTCTTGCTCAGGGCTTCCAGTCACAGCTGCTTTCACTTCCCCCATGCCCGGCGTGCTCTCGCCGAGGAGCCAAATGCTACCATCGCTCGACCATTGCCCAGTGGCTCCTCCACTGACTCCCGATGGCTCTTAGTCCACGGGAACATCCTCTGGATTGGGATGCTGACCCTGGCAGGCCGAGCACTTCCTAGCTGCCCTAGCTCCTCATGAGGAGACAGGGCTGGCTGCAGCCCGTTAACTTGTTGCAGATTTATTTATGGCTGAGCCAGAACTGCAGCCTCCCAGCGAATCTGTTTTTGCAACATGTTCCTTCAAAATAAACACAGGATTGCACTTTTCAGTCTCTTTATTTACTGCAAGGCTTTTAATAGGCGTCAAGAAGCAGATTGTGGGAGAGATGCTCACACATGGCGCTGCTGCGAAGTGATGCCGTGCCGCCACGCTGCCGCCCGCAGTTTCCCTGTGTTGATATGGCCCTCAGCCTGTGACCTGTCTTCCAGTTTACACCTAGGCATCCCACACAGTAATGCTGAGCTCCACATGACGCCTCTGGAAGAGAGGAACCTGCCTTGGCCAGGGTACACCATGGCACTAATGGCTCTTTGTTGGGTTTGCCCATTTTACCTACACCGATTTTACTTACACCCACTGCAAATCAGAAATAAAAAGAAAGTCACTATAGGGGCAGTATGTTCTTCTTCACTCATAATACTGCACTAGCTACTTCCTTGCTTTGCTGTATTTTCTTTTCTTTCCTTTTTTTTTTTTTGACTAAGGTGCTATAAAAAAAGAAAGAAAGGAAAACACAAAACAAAACCAGAGTGACTTATAGGGGCTAAGTCCAACCTGAATGACTTTCCTAAGGGTCCAACTTCCTGTCTTAACAAAAGCCAGGAAATACAAAATTAACCCCTTCCTCCAAAACAACCCCATGTTTGGGTTCAGGGTACAATGCCATTGTAATGATAATAATAGAAACAAGAGCCTGAAGTGCTGTGCCCTGGGTGGAGAGCTGGGAGCTGATGCTTTCATTTTCACACCTGGGGACCCACTGCTGGCCACTCTGCCAGCCCCATGGACCTGGCATGACTGCTGTGTCACGGGATGAGATCTGTGTGCCAATGGAGACCCATCAGGCTGAGCCTGAGTTTATGGGATTAGGAACATACTGGGAAAATGCCTTAATCCCCACTCCGCCAAGTCATCACGGAGTGCTTTCTCTCTGTCTTGGTGGGACAGGAGCCCGCAGAGCTTTCCTGTGGCTCTGCCAGTCCAGCCAGGCTGATGCGTAGGTGAGGGCATGGACAGTCTCTGCGTGGATGGCACTGAGCCTGGTTAGTTAGCAGCTTGGGAACAAGGTTAGATAACCTCTTGTCTGCAATTGGCCCATTGCACAAAGCGGTTATCCAGCAAAACTGGTTAGTCAGGCTTTTGAACTGGTCACCCAGGGCCAAAATCAGGCCTGAAACGTTCCAGAAAGCTGAGGATTACGGCACCGCTGGGCCTGACCTGAGCCTGTGCTTCTCTGCCCTCCACGGGTGTTTTGCCTGAATAAAGCTATGCAAGATCAAGTCCTGCGTCTTGAGACAGAGAACAAAAATGCACGTGGGAAAATTTGGAAACTGTGCTGGATGCATTTCTTCAGCATGTGTAACTTTTTCTCCGAATTCAGTTTCACAACCCAGCATTCCCTTTTGTAAATATTTGGACAGATTGTAGAAAGACACCCACATTCACAAAAAAAAAAGAAGGAAAAAGAAAGAATGGAAGAAAAGGAAGGACAGGAGGAAGGAAGGAAAAAAGGAAAAAGAGGAAGAGAGAGAGAAAAACAAAGAGAAAGAAGGGAAAACAGGAGAAGGAGGTGGGAGCAGGGCAGGGGCAGCGACGCTGCGCGGCTGCCAGGGGCTCGCGGCACCCCCGGCTGCTCCGACGCCTCCCAAGTGACCCCGCACCGAGCGTGCGGCAGCCACAGGGACCCGCATCCAGCATCTCGTGGCCCAAAACCCAAGATATTGGAGAAGTCGGTGGCAGGGACGATCCCCCCGCCCCGTTGCAATTTTCCAAGTGGCTCTGTGCCTGCTCGAGCAGCTAATGCAAGTCAGTTCTGCTTTCCCTGCCCGTGACTCACTGAAGTAGCCTTGGGCAAGTTGCTTAGTGCTGTGTTTTAACATGATTGCAGGCATTAGACTGCCAGGCTGGGACAGCATGGATTTGATATTCAAAATCATTAAATACCTGCCTCCAAAGGAAGAACTTTGGGAATTAGCACTGGTACAGTATTCAGCACCAGGATCAGATTAGTTGGGCAAATGGCTTAAGCAATTTAATATTACATTTAATTGCCTCTATTAATCTGCAATTAATCATGATATGCACTGTGCATAGGGGTACGCACTTAATAAAATAGCTATATTTGTGAAGCTGCCATGGGATGAAAGGTGTCAGATATATACATACACATAAAACACACATGTATGGAAATTATTTTCCTGCTGCTTGGACATGTATTTTCTCAGTAAAATTCACTAATGGCTGGTATGGTAAGGAAAGGCTTCTGTGGGAGGAGGGTGATTTTGAATAGAAAACAAGTGACGTACCTTGCTCCAAGTAGCAGGGAGAGGCGTGTTCTCCTACCCAGATACGTGAGACATAGATTTATTGCTAGTCATGTGATGGCAGTGTTTTGTGGGTGCAGTGACTAGGTACTATTCCCAGAAACATCAGCTCTAATAAAGCCTGTGATAAGAGTCACAGAAGCATTGAGAATCACAGGTTTTTCTGTTCTTATCGCTGATATTTGCACAGAGAAATCCAGGCTCCATAAATGTCCGTGGCAATAGGGCACCTGCTGAGCCTGGGGTTACTTTCGGCTGTGCATGCAAAGACGTTCTGGGAGGAACAGGACCAGACTCCGGAGTCTCGTTCCAGCTTTCCGGAGGGAACACAAACCAGTTCTCCGTTAGCCTGTAGCTACACCAGTTCCCACTGCCTTGGTGGTGCAAGGGTCTGCAAAGCCAGAGAAACCAGCTACCATGGGCTGCGTTAAGGACATGGCTGGGAAAGACTCTCATGGTCGGAGTCCCTGTGCATGCTAAGTGTAGAATAACTTTGGGTGGATATAGGCAGCTTGGAATAATTTACGACCGTTGGGACTAAAACGTCTGGAGGTGACAGAAAGGTGCTTCTGCCTCCTGAAGTCCTATGTTAAATGCAGGGCTCCACTTCAGGCTGTCAGAGCACTCAGAGCACTTACCTGCTCTGTATCTACTCCCTCTGGTTCTTCATTCGCCTCTCTGCTAATGGTGCTAAAAGGGTTTTTTTTCTGGGGGGACAGGAGAGAAGGATGTAACAGCTAAAGCAGCGAGCAGGACTGCAAACCAGCACCGGGTAAGGAGAGGCTTTGTTTGCCAAAACCACAATTCCTGCCTTCTCAGACTGTGGAGCGGCCTGGTGAGGACACCGAAGAGTGACATTTCATA